TTAGCTTCAATAATATTTAACCATTTTTAAAAAATCTTAACATTAATTAAAAAAAAAATCTTTTGAAAGTACTTAAATAAATGATTTTGCAGTGTGAACCCGTATTATTATTTTGGAAAAATTGTTTTATGATCTAAAATAGTAGTAATGGGTGGAAATAGTCTACCAAAACAAGGGGTGCTGGATTATCACTTCGGGGTCTGGTGAAAAGTGAGAAAGTTGGATGAGATTATACCCAAGCTATAGCTTATATTATACAACAGTAAAGACAACAATTAAATAATATGACAGGTAACATACGGGTGACCTAACCACATACCCAGATACCCTTAATACAAATAGTGTTTTGGTAAGTAGTATGTATTTGGGGAGTCTGGCTCCATTTTTACAGGGAGAAAAAATGTTGAATGGGGAAAGTTCTACTTGCAGAAGATTCGATTACAGTATAGCTAAAAAATCCATTTTAGGTGGTTGGTGACTCTTGCTCTATTTTTACTGGGAGATTAAAAAAGTTTAACCAGGAAAATTTGTCTTGCAGTGTATCGAATCTCCCTATAATTTTCTAAAGACAATTTAAACGATTAATGTAAAGTTAATATATTTTCGTACTGAGTTCAAGAACATTATCGACAAACCTGAAGATACAAATGTACATGACCCTGATACGACCCATAGTACTGTATGCCGCGGAAACATGGCCACTTAGGAAAGCAGAAGAAACCAGACTTAAAGTATTTGAAAGGAGAATCTTACGGAAAATCTACGGCCCATGCTTTGACACAAACACAAGTGAATGGCGTAAACGTCATAATAAAGAACTCGAAGAGCTGTTCCAGAGACCGAACATCGCGAATGAAATCAAGAAAAGAAGATTAACCTGGGCAGGACATGCATGGCGGAGAGTAGGATCCATAGTCAGAACAACAATCGAAGAAGAGAACCCGGTCGGTAAGAGACCCTTAGGAAGACCACGCTTACGCTGGGAAGACTGTGTAAAAAGGGACGTGGAAAACATTGAACCAGAGATACCATGGAGAGTAGTGGCAGAAAATAGAGATAGATGGAGAGAAATTTGTTTGGCGGTATGGTCTCAATGACCGAAAACCAAAAAAAAAAAAAAAAAAATATATTTTCGTGGGAAGGAGAGGGGCGTCAAATATTGTTGCCCTAGGACGTTATTGGTAGTTAGAGCGGCACTGGTTACATTATGAACTGCTTATGAGACACATAAATTACAATTTTCAATTTTTTTTTTAAATATGCTCTGGGGCTTTTTATATCATTTAAACGGCCCAAAGGTCTTTATATATAATATATAGCAGTCGATTTGTATATTTTATATTGGATATTATTTATATTGGGTATTTTTTCCACAGGGTATTTTTTCCACTGGGTATTATTTCCACGGTTATTTTTTCCACGGGGTATTTTTTCCACTGGGTATTGTTTCCACGGGTATTTTTTCCATGGGTATTTTTTTACGGGGTATTATTTCCACGGGTATTTTTACCAGTGGATATTTTCTACAGGGTATTTTTTCCATGGTTATTTTTAACTCTGGTATTTTTACCTATAGGTATGCAAGTTCAATACAGTATAGGTACCTATCTAAAAAGCATAATGATTTCCAAAAAAAAATGTCTAACAATTAACATAAATTGTATACCTAATATCTATTCGATCAAATATTATCAATAGCTATTTTAATTATAAATTATAATAGGCTACACAATTAATTAGCTATTTTAGATTCTGAGCATCGAGAAGCGAGGAAGCTAGTAGTTTTACAATATTGTTAATTTTTTTGATTCTAAATAATGAAATAATAAATAATAAATAAATAAATAAATAATAAATAATAAAAACTTGTATAATGTTTTAAAGCCAAATAACGATAAACGCAAAACGTGTGTTATGTTTTAATTGTAAATAACATGAAACGATTTTTTCTTCAAATCCGATATATGGTAACAACAAACATGTGGCAGGTGGTTTAAGCATATTAAACAAATATATAATCGTTATTATACGTGGCCTAATAATGTAGTTTGAATTAACGTTTGTAAAAAAAAAATGCATTAGAAAATGTAAATGATTGTTTAAAATATGATAATATTCTTAAAAAATTTCAAGTACCTTCAAATAATATTTTTAAATGATACACAACACTAAAATCGATATTTTTCTTTTTAATATTTAATTTTGTCATAATTTGAACATAAAATATCTTTAAAAATAAGATTGTTTTTATATATATTATGAATTTTTTGGTTACATTATGAACTGCTTATGAGAAACCTAGATTTCAATTTTCAATTTTCTGTTAAAAAAAATTAAACTCTTATACATTATTATTGGCAAACTAATTTTCAAATTGTCTAGGTTTTGATGAACTTTATTAAAAATGGAACTATTTGCAACCGCTATTTGAAATTTTCAGCTTCATACTTTGACAGCTATAAACATATTTGTGTCTATATCTAAAAGTTTATATCAAATATTTATAAGAAAATAATATAAGTTTAGTAAAAAATATATGATTTGAATAAAAAAAATCTATATTTAATACAATATTTTATATATTAAAGACTTACATTTGCAAACCTGTAAAAAATTAGAAAAGAAAAGAAAGTATTGAATGATAACCTTTGTTAGAAAGTCACATGTATTGAAATTATTATTGAAAAAATCCAACTTTCTAAACTTATATTAAAATAATATTTTTTTAAATATTATAACTTATAGCATTTATCATTGAAAATGTAACTAGGACTATGAACCCATGGGAACAGAATACATTTTAGGTCAATATTTTGCATACATTTATATTTACTAACTGCATGTGGCCCGCAGTTAATTTTCCAAAATAATTTTTTATCCTTTTCAAAATGCTAATGGGGGCTGCTGGTATAGTTCCATATTTTTACAATTAGTAGAGAATTAGTATCAATCTCTTACAATTTGATATGGTTGGTTTGTGGTTGTCACTATATTGTCCAACTTTAAACTTAATTTCGAAAATGGTCAAACCTTTTTTAAAAGTGGTCAACATGTATAGAAATGCTAATACAAATCGAATATCTACAGTTTATTTGTATTTCAATAGGCTACGTATTATATTGATTATACAATTAATGCTTAAAATGCATAGAGCCACTGAGTCGTGCATACTAATGGTTATTGCATACTAATTATTTACTTGGGTGATGTATTAGCAGTCTTGTAAAAATTATTTTTGAACACTATTTAGATACTAATTACTGAACTATATTATTTAGTATTGAAAATACTTTTAAAATACTATAGTAAAAATTTATTTTACAAATTGTAACGAGACAGAAACGAGCAACCAATTAACTATCATGCTCTGCTGGCTCGTTACTGCACCACTTCTCTGACGCTCATCAATTATTAACGTCTCGCACTCTTGTGAACCCGCCGATTAACGAGACGCTGGAACGGGGCCAGCACAACTCTTATAATTAACGTAGATAGCGCTCTATAGTATACTAAGAACTAGTGATAATGAAGTAAAATACTGTAAACATTAACTAAATAAATATTATTTATTATAAACACTAAAAATGGATGTGTCCGTTATGAAGCGCTGTCGTCACCCATTAGTTACTTATTGGCGATGCCAGTGATCCATAATGGCACATCCATATTTTGTCAATTTTTGCGCCATGTAAATACGGACTAGTGAGAGATTTATAATATTTATAATCAATGTTTATTAGTTATAAATAGTTATACAGAAAAGTATTAATATTATAGATACCTATGGCAACTATTAATTATTTAGTATAATAATTATTTGGTATGAATCAATAATTGTAAAAATTATAATCTGTGAAACTATACGTCTTAGACCATGCCTACTATATTATATTATGACTTTTTTCCAAATTTGAATGAATAATAGGATCAATAAATATTATTATCGGAAGTATATAAACCACCTATAACAAATAGGAAATTATTATGATTATATTGCTTATATCGTTTTAACGAAAACAATAGGTATTATTTTTATTAACAACCAAATGTTTATAAAAAATAAAATAATAAAACGGACTTTATGGTATTTAAAAGTTGTTAAAGGTATCCAAATACTTGTGTAATACTCATAAATCATAATATATTTGATACTCAAGGACTCAATAACACAACACAATTTATAATGTTTACATTCTTTATACACTGTTTATTAATACAACTTTAATCAATAAAATATATTAATGACATAGTTCACATATAATAGCCACTTCAGTATCCGACACTGACGGAGCACTAACACTACGGCTAACTGCTGGATATGCGTAGACTGTCTTAGTCCAACCATTCCCCTCTACAGTGCTCATACCTATATCACCTTAATTTATATATATAACACTTGTATTCGAATACTTAACAAGACTGTGTATTATATATATTTTAGTAGTTATTTCCCTTGTTGAAACCACCAAAAAAAATTGAATGCCTTTAGTTTTCACCCCACGAACAAAAAACTGCGGTGGTGTGGGAGAAACATTTCTCCAGCACTCCCCACAAGAACCGATGGAATCAGGGTGTTTTTTTTCGGTCTTATTATTTAGTTCACGATTCATACCAATTTGTATGCCAATTTCTAAAATCCCGTCCAAGTACAAAAAGCTTTCTTAACATTTTGGCATTCCTTATAATAATTTTTATTTGAAGTTCAAATTTTTACAACATTGGATTCACTCGATTTCTCATGTAACGATTTTCTTATTTTGTTGTAATTCAAAAACGAATAACCGTAGACACTTTAAATTTATATCATATCGAGTCCTAACTCCTAATAGGTAAAAGGACGTGCGTGAATTTGGCCCCCCGACATGGTCTGATAGACACCGGACCAATGCCAATATTTTGTAACTATTTGTAACACACTTTTCAGAATTTGTAACTCTTTACTTTTAGTGCTAATAAAATTTTCAAAAATTAGTAAAATATTATACATTATGTGTATGTGTTTATAATATACTGATAAAATTATCTTCAAAATAATCTACTACTGGCAAAATAGATTCAGGTAAATAGTCAACAAGTTCTCCAAATGCTTTTACTACATCGTGAAGGGGTACAAAAGCGAATGCTGCCAACATTTTTGCATTAACTGCAAAGTCAACATATGTTGAATATATTGTCTGTAAACCTTCTTGTTGAATTTTACGCCACAGACATTGGGAGACGTGGAAAAAACAGGCAGTTATTTTACATGAAGGATATACATATGTAAATGCATTAATAGCTGCTAATTCCAAATCTAACACTATATTTAAATTTGTCAAATTGCGTGTTAACAATGTATTTAAACAGGAAAAAGATCTAAAAAATTAAATATAAATATATCATTTTTTTTTTAAACTTAATTTTTATTAATTAATTACGAAATATTACTTAGTATATGCTTCTTCGGTCATACGTGTCATTACCTAATATAAACGCACCCGCCACTAGAGAATTGTTTTCTATTTCTGCATGTATGCTGTACAATTGCTTAAAAATAAGTGGTTAGGTAGTGGCTAGTACTTACCAACACTATTTTAGTGTTATTTGAAGTGTCACAATAATGCCACTTTCACTTGGCAGTCAATATTATTAAACAACCACTTATTGTTACATAATTTTCTGTTGTATATTTATATTTGTATACATTATATTTTGAGTGTTCGCCTTTTTAAAGAACAAACTAGTTAATGGGCCTGGTCGCGATTTTTCAAATTTTCCGCAATTCTATAAAATTTGAAAATTAAATTTTATATTTTAGTTGCCACCTCAATTATAAGACTTTTCCACTAATCTACTACCCAATACCTATTTAGGGGGGGTTGATAGGGTGTATTATATCGGTCAAAACACAGTTTACAGGAAAAACTCTCACACCTCGTAGATTGGTCCGATTTCCGTAATTTTTTTTTTGTTAGATAGAAGAATATTTTTTACAGGGCGCATTGGACTTCGATTTTTGATTACGTCGCTAAAAACAAAAAAATAATACAAAAACTAAAAAGTTGTAAAAATTGATTAAATTCAAACTTGTAACATAAGACTTAGAAAAATAATTTTAAAAATCCAAGTCCAATGCGCCCTGTAAGAAGTCTTCCTCTATCTAACAAAAAAAAATTACGGAAATCGGACCAATCTACGAGGCGTGAGAGTTTTTCCTGTAAGGCATGTTTTTGAGCAAAAAAACAGGTCGCGTGCAGGCCCCTTAAACGATTAATATCCTTGTATGGCTTGTATGTAGATATTATAGTAGCTACATAAACCTAATTTTCATAGGCGCAAATAGGGGGGGCTTAGGGGGTATTAGCACCCCCAATTTTAAAATTAGCACCATCTAATAAATATGTGTTTATGTATCAAAACTTCTCTTTACAACAAAAAAAAAAAACCAAAAACAGTTTATCATCAGACATGAGGGTATCAGAGTATAATGAATGAAACAATGAACTCGACAATTGTAATTTTATCGAATTCAAATCTATTTAGAATATAAATCATTATTTTCCAATGTTTCTACTAAGCCCGGTCGTTGTGGTCGGTTATATTATTATCAGTGTTATCACGTTCAGCAGCGACTCAGCTCTACGACAATTTATAGTATCGCGAGTATTTACTAATAACATTGATTTTATAATATATTATAGCATATATTATAAAATCAATGCTAATAGAAACATTCCCGTGACCACATCTAATTCGGACAAAAACCTAATTACGATATACGAATTACTTGTCAATTGGTGTTCACTGGAGTTCCAAGTTTCCGACAGCCTGTGTGATTGTGTATGCCGAATGATATAATATAGTAGGTACAGATATAACTGACTTTTGGAATAACTTTTGTTCTAATCAATATTTATAATGTTTTTTTATAATTTTAACAATTTTTGTCACACATTTAAGTAGCTTAATTTTTTTTTTTTGTCAAGTCTGTCTGTTACACGCCTTGTACACTAATATTTATTTGTCATATTTTTTGAATAAAATATAAATAATTTGTTTTAAATTTTTAATAAATTAAAATTTACTATTGTATTAATTTTTATAAAATGTACCTAATGCACTATAACTATTCAATGTTAAATTGTCATAAAACCATTTTTTCTCAAAAAAGTCATAAGTGCCTCATAGGCATAATTTAATTTAAATACCCATTAAATGCAGAGCTTAAGCACCCTCAGTTTTTATGTTGAAATTGCGCCTATGCTAATTTTGCTTTAATCCACGCAAATTATATGGACAACTTTGCAATTAATATTATGTATCAAAAAAAGTGTATAAAAACATTTATAAGTACTGCATTTATTAAATTTTAAAAATTAACCTATAATGTTAGTCTTTTAACAATATAAAATCAAATATAAATACAATTATAAAATATTATTACAAGGTATAAAATAACATCTTGCAGTTTACAGTATTATTTGGCCTGTTTCTTACAACTATCTTCTGCATGTCATCAAACATTTGCCATTGGTTCTGCGGTTCCCAAAAGTAATGAAATAAAACGTGGCCTGTTTTCTCACTGCTTATACCTAAAATCAAGTTAGGTATAATATTATGATCAGATTTAATAAAAACCTGTAGTATAGTTAATGCTCAAAAGTTAGGTAATGAGTTTTGGATAATTTTTCTAATTAAAGAAGAAACAAGAATATACCAACAAGTTATTTAGACATGGTATTAATTTTCTAGTTAATTATTTTTTCAAATATCACGCTAACTCCTTCGTAGATCGTTTAGAAAAATTATTTTCGAATAAATCAATTTATTTTAATATCATAACATACCACAGTCAAAACATTCGACATTTTAAAAAAAACCTCTTTTTAATTCAATAGCTCCTCGAAGTTTGTATGATTTTCCTTGTATGTTTAACATTTTTTGAATTGAATCAAGTTTGCATGATATTCATTGAGTGTAATTTGATGAGCTTTCGGGCGTAGGACATTTGCGCATCGCTATTGTTATGAATGACCTTTTTTGTAGGCCGTTTGCGCAATACTATTGTTAAAAAGGCATAGGTTGTTTTCCCTAGCTATTGTTACAAATAACCTTTTTATAGGCTGTTTGTGCATTGCGAATTACGTATACCAGGTTTTATTTACACTTACAAAATTAATCGTCAATATTCATAATTCATATTTAAAAAAATTACAAAATTAATATTCACATTTACCAAAAAAAAAAAATAAATGTATTTTGCATTCTGGAAAAACAAACTTAATTTCAATATGGGCGCTTATTTCAAAATCGGCTCTCATTAAATTAGGCATGAAGCCATGAACGACAAATTAAATGAACCACACAACTCCTTTAAAAAGTTCCACATCTTAGTATTACATTCCGTACTTGTATAACTTATCAGTTATACATATTATCTCACCAATATATCTGGTCATGTCACTAATAGGTAGATAGGTAATAAAGTAGTAGGTACCTTTCTATTGTTAAAATTTGCGATGCGCAAACGACCTACCAAATTTCTTACCTGAGGTACAAATGATGCGCAAACTCCGGAGCTTTCTTTACTTTAATCAATTAGTTTTTTTGTAAGAACGGGAACATGATAACCATACCTATACCTAAGACACATAAAAGACAAAAAAATATATTATAATTTTATATTTACAAAAAAATACATTTATTCTTATCAGATATGTTACTTTAAATTATTCTCGATGATTTTTCCACACATATAACAATTTTCTTCTTCAGACTGTATAGATGATTGTACATTTTGTATTTTGTCTATATTGGAAATTAAAAATGTACTAAAACAGCTCTTGGATGGACAGTTTTCAAAGTTTCTTGTAATTATGAGTGAAGGATAATCTTTAAGCAGTTTTTGTATTAAAAGTTCTATTATGGTAGTTTCTGAATTTATATAATGAATATAACTGGATTTTAGGATATTTTCTTATCTGTGATACTTTCTAAAATGATGGCTCGTTTTTTATACGTCTGGACATTGACACCATCTCGAAGAGAATTATAAACTAAGTTGAATAATAATAAATCTTCTTTTTTACTTTTTATAAACTGATTATAAAGCGGAATATCACACATGCTGACACATTGTGCATGTACTATCGAATCGAATGCACATGTATTTGTTATCACAAAATGTTTATTGTTAATTAAAACTGGAATAATTTTGATAACGACAAATTTTGTAAAATTCCAATAACAATACTTTTGGTTTCACTTTGGTCATTATTTAAAACTATTGTAGGACCTTTATCCAAGTAGTTTTTCTTTTCTCTTTTTTTTCTGGTCTCAAAGCTTCATTGCCATAATGTTTCAAAATTATATCTTCATTAATTGCATTAATATTAGATGTATTGGATGTCATACATCCAATATATTTTTGTTTTTCACCATAGCCTTCCTCATTACCTATCGATACAGAACATTCATCTAATACATGGACATTGGCATTACAAATAATACATTTATGAAAATCACTTGGAAAATCACCGTTTTTGCAAGCTGGACATAAATTTACAGTGTCATAATTTGGTTGAATCAAATCTTCATTATTTGGTCGTATTTGATGAACTGTAGAACTTATATGTCTTGACTCAGATAGAATAATAGACCCCTCGACTGATTCAATATGCGTTTTAATAAAGTCATCAATTCTTAATGGTAGAGTCTTATGATTGAAAATTCGATTTTTAAAATCATTAAATAGAATTTCACTTGCAGCGCTACTTTCAGTGGTTTTGCCATATTGAAAAATAGATACCATAACTGCAGACCAGATAGGAATAAACTTACAAAAGTCTTTCAATTTTTCGGTTAGTGGTTCGTTAAAATGCATATTATCATGTGTAGTACCTTCATCGTTTTTTTCTTTAGCTTCAATTACGCACTCATTATAAATATCAGAAATAACTTTAAACATTTGTGATTTATAACCAGTATGAAAATGGTCTGGAATTTCTTTGTCTATATTTTCTACATGTTTATCAATATGTTCAGGGTTATTTTCCTGAATAAATCATCTAACATAAACTCATCAATGGCAATTCTATTTTTCAAATATGTTTTGGCAACATCACATTTATTCGCTTTACCGGTCACTATATTTGACCCATCAGTTTCATTCAAGGCAATAATAACAATTAGTTCCAGTAATTTTTTTGCATCATTAAAGTTGGTACAAGAAATAATTAAACCAATAGCTCGCAAATAAAAATGTTTTATTCTTTATGAAAGTCCTTTAAATTCATTCCAACTTGTTATAAGTTTCATAATATGTGCTATATCATTCCTTATAAAACAATTGTTGACAGAATATTTATATGGGGTTAGAAATAATGAGGAACACACTTCTAAATATGTTGTTAAATTTGAATACTGTGTAAACGAACATAAACATGCAGACATTAGTGCTATAGACTGGTCAGTCATAACAATTTTCGGTGATGGAGCGCCATCGCGGGTCCATTGCATTAACCAATGTGATATACTGTTATTTTCATGTCTTTCGGACAACATATGAGCTACAGGAAATTGACTTTGTCCATTGAGTAAAGCAATTTCAATATTTCATACAAAAAAATTGCATTGCATTTCCTACCTGAGATAAGTACCGGCTTTCTAACTATACCTAGGGTAGCATCAATGGAAATTAATGGAGTTTTTGATTGTTTCACGTATTGCCGATAAGCATTCATCTGAATTGTTGACCAATAATGGACAAAAAATGTGTCGTAACCAATATCTCTAGTACTTGTGGAATAGGGAATAGCGTTTTTTAAAATAGATAAACTCAATATGGAATCATCATGTTCTTGCTCTTTTTTAATAGTTTTAGATTAAGTGAAGGTAAATGACTTGGTTTTTTGTCTCCAAAAATTCATTAAACGACTTGCTTCATTTTTAGGAATAAAAGATGCTGTTTGATTCAAATCTACAAGCTGATTCAAAGCCTTTGACCTTGCACTTCCAATTAGTTTTCTTTTACCTAAACCTAAACATGCCTCAACATTTCCAGAATATGTATAGTTTATTATGGCACTAGAATTTTCGTGTGGCTTTTTGTCCATTAAACCTTTAAATGTACTATTGCACTCAGAACACGAACCATCCATTACCAAATAAAAAGTCCCATCTTTATAAATTTTTACGCTTTATAAATTTTTACGCGCAGAATCTTATAAGTATAACTGTTAAGTTACTTATACATTTCTTTAGTGATATACTGATATGTCCTGCATCTGCATGACTAAATTTAAACAATTCTACATATATATACTATTGTTATAATATATCTTGTTAGGTATAAATATTATAGATTTTTATACAATTCGTTAATTAACCAAACTTTAATTATAATAGGTACATTAGTCATTATTATGAAATTTGTATATACATAAACATTAAATAGATCTTACACTAAATCTGGTAGGTAATATGAATTCCATCTCTATTCTCTATCATGACAATATAGTGTTTTGCAATTTAATAAAATAGATTTCATTAGATTATTTTATATAATATGTATATTATAATCTATAATTATTATCACATTATGTAGGTACTTACCAAAAACAGTGGGCAATTGTAAGTATAGAGCCACTTGATTTATTTCAGAGAATAATCTTTCTTAAAAAATTAACGTTTCATTTGTCACGTTCAGCTCTTAGCAGAAATAAAATATGATATTCAAAGTAAGGGTGCCTTCACGACAAGGCGTTAGTTAAATTTAAATATCACACTAACGACCTTATATGAATAAAAAAGGAATTAAAAGAGATAACCCTAACGCTATTGTCCGGTCCGTGATTATGCACTGGCGCGAAAAGGAATTGTTTAAATTGTGTTTGCGGAGTGAACATACACCCCCCTTTGAAAGGATTTACCTATGACAATAATAACGAATAATAGAACTATGAATACATATGAAAAATGATAATTTTGCTACATGCAATACTATCAATAATAGAGATAAAAAAAAAATTAAATAAATAATACATTGGTTGAATCCTCTTTTGATGATGACTAAGGTTGTTCTTCTCTCTCATCTTCTTCACTTGGTAGCAAGGAAAGTTTCACCACTGGGCGTTTGAAAATGTTGCCAGAGGAATTGCGTAAAGTGACCACTCGAACAGTGCCATCAGGACCAGGATGAACATCTTGAACCCTGACCAGAGCCCATCTGGTAGGAGGAAGATTTTCTTGTCGGAGAAAAAATAGGTCACCCACTCTTATGTTTCGAGTTGCCTTTATCCAACGACCTTGGCGTTGTAATTGAGGAAGATACTCCCGGGACCATCTCTTCCAAAACTGTTGAATGCAAGACTGTACCAATGCAAAACGTTTAAGTCTAGACATCGGGGTGGTGGATGAATCTGCTTCAGGTGGTAATGTGATAACCCCACCAATGAGAAAATGAGCCGGTGTTAGAGCTTGATAGTCTGATGGGTCATTGGATAACGGAGTCATGGGTCTAGAATTTAAAACTCCTTCTATTCCACACAGCAATGTTGTAGCTTCTTCAAATGTAAATGTTGCATTTAATGATATTTTTGTCAGGAGTTGTTTGGAAGAATTGACCGCAGCTTCCCACAGACTTTCAAAGTGAGGTGCTGAGGGTGGAATAAAGTGGCATTGCATAGATTTTTCAGAAAGATATGATAATGTTGTATGAGTTTTGGAAATTTCCTCAAAATTGTGACATGAGTTTGCGATTCGCACCAACAAAATTTGTGCCATTGTCGCTGAAAAGGTTACTGCATTGTCCTCGGCGAGACATGAATCTAGTTAGTGTGGCTAGAAACGCATCGGCAGTTAAAGATGAGACTACACCAGAGCAAGGATGCCTGTCGAAGAAACATTAAAACGAACTATTAGAAACTACAGAAAAAAGAAAAATCCCATCGATCCAGCTACACTAGATGAACTTGAGATTTTGGTAAGTTATAAAACCCTTGACACCTGTTAAAAAAATGTATATAACTTATAATTAATTCCAATGTAAATTCATTGTAAAATCAAAACATTCAGTTATTCATTTTATTAATTTGTGTTTAGGGGGAGTGGTGTTCTACAGGAGAACCACACAACAAAGTACTGCTACTTGATGACAACGGGAAAGAAGCAAATTAAAGGATAGTGATGTTTGCAACACAAGAAGGGCTTGTCAATTTAGCAAGTTCTTCGAGATGGTATATGGATGGAAACTTTGCTTTGGCTCCAAAACTTTTTAGTCAGGTGTATGTCATACGTGTAGAAATAAATAAAAATTTTACAAGAGCAGTATACATTCTCTTACAGAATAAAACTTTGACAACTTATGAGCAAATGCTCACTACGCTTTTAAAAAAATGTGAAGAACAACATTTATTTCCTGATCCTGTGGTAATACATGTTGATTTTTAAGGTGCAGTTATCACAGCTATCACACATGTTCTTGGACAAGATATACACATTCAAGGTTGTTTCTACCATTTAACTCAATCGACCTATCGGAAAGTACAAGAGTTAGGGTTGCAGACACAATACAGAGAAGATCAAAACTTAATCGAATTTTGTGGAAAAATGGATGGCTTGGCATTTTTACCCGTTGGAGATGTCAAAGATGGTATTGTATATTTAAAAAACACTGTTCCTGAAGAAGCTGAAACATTATTAAATTATTTCGATACAACATACGTTAATGGCAAGTACAGGCAAGTTAGAAATGAAAGTAACAGAATATTCTTAAGAAACTGCCCCCCTATTTTTCCACCAAACTTATGGAACGTAGACGATTCAACTTTGAATGATGAAGAACGTACGAACAATTCAACCGAAGGATGGAATCAGTGTATGATCATGGATATCATGGATGGTTTAGTAAATTAGTAGGACAAACACATCCAACAATTTGGACTATTATAGAAAAAATAAGGTTAGAAGTGGCAGCTGATGAAACAAAGCTAGCCCAAATTCAACTTGGAGTACCACAACACAAAGACAAAAAACGGTGTACACGCGATATTGAAAACTTTTTAACTGCCATC